CAACAACAACAACAACCAGTCCACCATAGCTATGGCTTCCCTCCTTCAGCCTCCTCTCTCATGCATAGGCTATGGCGGACTAATGAGGGCCTTGCCCTGACGTCCAAAGGACAGCCCAAAGCAGCTATGGTGCTGCGCTGATGTCCAAAGGACAACCCAAAGCAGCTATGGTGCTGCGCTGATGTCCAAAGGACAACCCAAAGCAGCTATGCCGCTGCTGACTGGTCCGCCATGCCTGACTCTACCTCGAGCTTCCTTGGTGCAGCACTACCCCAACTGGGGCCTTCCAGATGCAGCGCCCAACAAGGTGATGAAGATGGTGTCTACCATAGCCAGGTAAGTGCCCCGCCACTCTCCTACCATGCCCCCTTCTTCCTCCTCCTCAAGCTGGACTGCTCGCCATAGCCAGGCTGAGCTCCAGCGGTCCTTCACCTCCAAGCAGCGCTGCACCAGTCCAGCGCTGCACTCCAGCAGCATGTCACCAATCCTTGCACACCGCAAATGAGGAAGAGCTCTTTGCTCTTCCTGGAGATATAGCGGCCTACAGCGGCCTACCGGCCTCCTGGGCGGTGACTTCCTAGGCCGAGCGGCCTCCCAGCAACCGGTACCTCCTCCCTTTCGGAGGGAAACATCATTGCAGGCTCTGCTATCCTCCGTACAGGCCCTAGGCCCGGGCTACTTGGACTGGTACCGGCCTACCGCTATCCTACCGCTACTGGGCCTCTAAAAATGCCAACTTTTTGTCTTCTTCTGCTCGGCCTCCGGTACCCGACACTTCTACCACTACTTCAGTGGTACCGGCCTACCTGCTACTTGAGTGTTTTTCCCCTCTGCTCTAAGTGTCGCGGGCCTACCCCCGCTACTCGAGTGTTTTCCCCCTGCAACCCTTCACAGTCACGGCCACAGGTAAGTACCGGCCCTGCGGGGCCTTGCAACCAACAAGTACCCTTGCGGGTCACACACACACTCAACCGACAAGCACTCAGACAGGCATGCAAACCAGCAGGCAAGCACACACACACACAGACATGGAAATCACAGCAGAATGTGGGAATTTCAACAAGGCATTCATTCCAGTGGCAAATCCCAGAAATCAGCAGTGTTCTCAGTCTGTGTTTTTGGCGGGTCGTTACAAAAGGTAGGCTATGGGGGGAATCAAGTGAGTCGTCAATGAAAGCTGGAGACTCCAAGAGCTTTGCGTCTTCTATCTGGCCTAACATTGCAGCCAGCCAAGAAACTCTCCCCCTCATCTTCAAAACCCTCTTCAAACTCCTTTCTTTCTTAAGTGCTGCAGCTACTTGATCTCCAGGTTTACTGCTCAGGTAAGGACAAGTGATACTCAATGGGACGCCGCGGCCAGCGTGAACGGAAGCTCTACACCGGGATGGCATGGAACGAATTACGATAGCCAAACAAAGGACTGCACTCGACAGTTCGGAGCCTGATGGTAAGTTATGAAGCTAAAACGATCCGCATGTAGTGCGGGCAACCATCGATATCCCACTCATCAAATAGTAGACAGCACACGGACCCACTCACTTGGGCTGGGAAAGCTGGATGGGTGATACCGCATGTCGAACCACACAAATGCTGTTCCTCAGCTCTGCAGGGTTCCTCCTTTGAGCAGCAGGCAGTATCGGTTGCTGCTTCTCTGCCATCATCACTCTTGTTCTGGTTTTGATAATATGTTGGGCCCCGCAGAAAGCTCACGGCCTGTCTTACAGCCCGAAGTGGATGATTCAATTATAGTGATTGTGAATTTAGACCACCCTCCCAACGCACATGAGGCACACACTAGATATGGTCTCGAATATAGTCTTTGCGAATGGATGCAAGCACGCAGAACTGTCTTCTCCAAGCTTGTGGCTTGTGGCTATGGCCACTCAAATACAACACAGTACGTCACTTCTCTCTCTTGGTTCTCTGTGTCCCTACTCTTAAGTTCACACAGGCCTTGGAGTCTCCCTCTCGGAGTAATCCGCTGCTCACTTCATTCTCTCTCTCTCTCTCTCTCTCTCTCTCTCTCTCGCGCGCGCGCGCGCGCGCGCGCGCACGCGCGCGCGCTCTCCTGTTGACTGCTTATCCGTC